TATATATATATACACACATACACACACACACACACACACACACACCAATAAAAAAGGTCATGTCTAAATGAGTAATTTTACTTGAAGTACTGGTTATAACATCCACTTTATTTTTGATATTGTTGAAAAGTTGAGAAATGTTTTTATTTGTTGATGAAACTGTTTCGTAATATATAAAACATTCTTTAGTATTTCTATTCTGCTCATTTGCACTACAGCAAAAATGCTGGGTTTGATTATGATTACAGTTTTCTGCTAAATAAATGCTTTAAAAATTATATTATCTTTGCTTTTTATGGTAATTTTCTACTATGATATACACTGTTACTGTGAAGGATTCAGTTTATACCCTGATATGAGTCTGAGGTCATACCGCCCAGCCTAACAGTGACACAAAGCTGCGTCTGAAGCTTCACCTTTGTCCTCAGAGATTTTCTGCATCAGCTCGTAGTCCTCGGTTTTCTCTCGCTCCAGGTTGTGTTTGATCATGGCCTTCCTGATGACCGCCGGCGTCTTGTCCTGACTCGTCACCTGGAAACAGGAAACAGGAAGCAGCGTCAGCGGCGCCTCGGAGCTGCGTTAAAGCCGTGCGCGCTCAGGAGCCGCCGCCTCACCAGGATGCTCTTGTACATGTTTCCGTTCTCCACGTCCAGGCTGACCCTGATGATGCAGCAGTCGTCCACCTGCTGGTTGTAGAGCGGCAGCGACAGCGTCGAGTAGTTCGACACCACCGACACCGAGCGCTTGTGCGAGCGCGAGCCCGACAGCGGCGTGGAGGAGGAGACGGAGGAGGACGAGGCGCTGCTGGAGCCCGAGGCCGAGCCGGAGCTGGAGCCCATCCCCGAGGTGTCGAGGGACGACAGAGACGTGCACTCCCAGAACTGAGGGAGAGAGCAGAGCGTCATGGCAGCGCAACCAACACAGAGGCTTCATCTGTAGCCTTTAATCCTAAATATTTTATTCTTTTTTATAGTCACTTTTTTACAGACTAACTATGTTTTATAATAAAATCTGTTACCGTTGAGGTCGTTTCTGTTGTCGGAGCTTCTCTCCCCAAAGCAGAGACGGTGAGCTTCACTGAAGGAGTCGACGTCTGGAGACGAAGAAACAAAATGTAAATAAAAAAAACTCTAGACCCAAACCTGAACCTGGACCTGGACCTGGACCTGGACTGGAGACACCTTTCAGTCCAGACAGGTGATTTATATTCATGTTTTTCTTCTGCTTAAACACAAACTCAAACAGAAAACCTGTTATAATCAGGGTTAGGTTCTGCTCTTCCTCACCAAAAAAAACTAATTAAAGTAACAAAAAGCTAGCTTAACACTAAAAGTAACAAAAAGCTGGCTAAGAGCTAAATGTTAAAAAAGGCTAGCTAAGGGCTAAATTTTAAAAGAAACAAAAGTTAACTAAAACTAGAAAAGGCTAGAGATGCATCAGGACATAGAAAAGGCTAGCTTAACACTAAAAGTAACAAAAAGCTGGCTAAAAGCTAAATGTTGCAAAAGACTAGCTTAACTCTAAAAGTAACAAAAAGCTGGCTAAAAGCTAAATGTTGCAAAAAGCTAGCTAAGAGCTAAATGTTGCAAAAAGCTAGCTTAACTCTAAAAGTAACAAAAAGCTGGCTAAAAGCTAAATGTTGTGAAAGGCTAAAAGTAACAAACCACAAGCTAAAATCTAAAAGAAACAAAAAAAGCTAGCTAAAAGTCATAACAGACCAGCAAAAAATAGTAGCAATAACATTGCTAAAAGCTAAACATTGCAAAAGGCAAGCTAAGAGCTACTGGTACTTGTAACAAAAGGCATAAAGTAACAAAACACTAGCTAAAATAAAAATCATAAAGGTTAAAAGTAGCAATAGGCTGAAACTCAAAGTAGCAGACGGTGAGCATTACAGACGGGGTCGAGGTCTGGAGACAAAGAAATAAAATGTAAATGAATGACTCTAGACCCAGTCCTGAACCTGGACCTGGACCTGGACTGCAGACAGCTTTTGGTCCAGACGGGTGATTTATATCGATGCTTCTCTTCTGCTGAAACACAAACCCAGGGTTAGGGTCTGCTCCTCCTCACCTTCCTCTCGTAGCCCTCAGGTGAATCTGACAGGAAGCTGGCGTTCACGTCCTCCAGATCCGAGCCGCTGGAGCTGACGGAGGTGACGCTGAGGGCGTCGCCGCTGTCCCCTCCCCCTCCCCCCTGGTACGGCCTGTAGTGCGAGTGGTCGAAGGACTTTGAGTGAGAGCCGCCGCTGCAGCCGGCCTCCGTCAGCTGTCGGCTGGACGGGAAATAAAAACCAGACCTTTAGTTTCCACCGGTCCTGAAAGCTGAGTTTGTGTAGAAGCACGGGTTAGAGACTCACTCGCTCCAGCGTTTCATGATTCCTCCGTTCTTCTTGGCTCGGAGCGTGTTGCTGGCCGACTCGGACAGAGGCTCGATCTCACAGGACAGATTGTAGCTGCAACACGAAACAGCTGTTTAAACACACAAAATAATCCAAACGGGCGTCTTTTACTGATTTAAGATACCTCTCTGCCTCGCTGAGCTTCTCCACGCACGCGAACCACTCCCTGAAGTGGCTGTCCTGAGTGAAGCTGTAGTTATTAGAGGCCAGCTGGAGCAGTTTGATCTGAGCGATCACCTCAAACTCCTGAAAAACACAACAACAAGGGCTATTTTCTTCTGTAATTATGGTGAAAAATACATTTTTATCAAACAGGGCGTTAAAGTCACCTTTCTTCTCTTCTCAAAGTTGATCAGACCACCCTGTAAAAAAGATTACAAACGTTAAAAATGACAGAGAAATAAAAACAAATATTAAAAAAATAAGAACCTACAAGAACCTGACCTCAGTGTAGTCTTTCATGGCAGTGTCCATCATCACCAGATCCGTCAGGAAGGTTCCTAGGTAAGGGATGGTTCCCTGCATCACGCCCTGTTCAGTAAAACAAGATATTTTATGTTCAAAAAAGGAAAAACAAGAAGCTTAAAGAAAGCAGCAGAGCATCTGCAAGTTAAATGATCCAAACATAAAGAGGTCTGATTTAAACTGGACGAGCTGCAGTGAAGATCTCCGCCACCAGAGGCGCTCACGGCTCGTTTCTGCAGCACAGAGCTTTGTTTTGTTCTTACCAGGTCTCTCTGCTGCTGGTGTCTCCTCTGAGCTCGTTTGGGGTTGATTTCTAAAGTTGCAAACTTGGAGGTGCCCTCCTGTGAGAAAACAATCAGAGTTAAACAACAACAACAACAACAACAACAACAACTCTATATTTAAAGACAAACCAGAACAGTTCCTACATCCTCCACAACGTCAAATTTAAGCTTTTTCCAAACACTTTCCAGAAGAATTTTCAGCTTTTCTCTAAATCAAAACAAGATCATAAAAAGATCTAAAGAAGAGGATTAACTCAAAACGATGATTTCACTCCCCGATCACATGAAATCAAAGGGTTAAATTTCTATAAAACAACTAAAAACAATTTTTCATGTCAGCAAAAACTGAAATTTATCTGAAAATTCAGAAAGATTCAGGGAGCAATAAGTGAGCTTAAACTCAGTGGTTACAGCTAAAACAAGCTGAACACTAGCTGAAGGAGAAAAGGAGCAAAATATTGGCCAAAAGCAGCAAAATGCTAGCTAAACTTAGCAAAGCTCCAGCTGGAAACTAATTGTAGCAAAAGGCTAACTACAACTAAACATAACAAACTAGCCTTTACCAAACGTTTAGCTAAAGAGAAATGATAGCTAGAAACCAAAAGATGCCAAATGTTAGTCTAAAAGTAGAAAAATGCTTGCTGAAAACTACAACTAGCAAAAAGGTTGCTAAAAGCTACATGCTGCTAGAGGATAAAATAAGCAAAACACTCGCTAAAAACAAAACAAAAAAAGCTAGCTAAAAGTAACAAAAGCTTAGCTAAAAATGAGAAATGGTAGCTAGAAACCAAAATTATCAAAAGGCTAAAAAAAGCAAAAGCCTAGCTAAAAGCTACAAATAACAGAAAACAAAAACAGAGCAAAAAGATTTAAGCCGATTTAAAAAAAAAAGAATGTTTGTAAGAGATATGAATGTATTTCTGATGGATAATTTATTTTAAAGTAAAGTACTTTGAAAATCATTAAAGTTACAAACATTCTGAGTCATTGCGCCGGCTCCTGAATGAGCCGAACGTTTTGATCTTTGAACAGCTAAAGAAGCACAAAGTGAGCAGAAACTGTTTGATCACACAGAAAAATAAAAACAGGAAAACTAAAAGTTAAATTGTAGAAATATAAAGTTCCAAATGTGTTCCTTATTTAATTATTTATATCTAAAATCTTGTACTTTATTCATTTTTTAGCTGAAGCTGAGCTCGAACCACCAGCTGAAATGTTATCGTTCAGTTTTTCCTCTTTTTGCTGAACTTAAGAAGAAAAATAAAACATCTGGCTGATTTCAGACCCCCCCAACATTCCTGACTGTGATGTCACTCTTTCTGCAGCCTCTCTGTAACTGGAGCTGGCCGAGCTGAGGGAGCGCAGCCTGCTCTGAGCTGATAGGAAAGGAGGCGACGTCCTGACATCTGTTATCTGCACCTGCCTCAGGTTTCCTCCCTTTGACGTCAGCAGGGAATCCCTCAGAGGAGCGGGGGCTCAGCTGCCAAGTGGGGGGCTGCGTGATGAAACTGGCTGGTTGATTAACTGGCTGTCTGGTTATTATGAGGACCAGTTTGAGTTGTTAGAGACTAACCGCCTTCGCCAAGGGCGAGGTAATGTTTTCGGTCAGTCTGTCTGTCGTTCTGTCTGTGGACAACATTACTCTAAAACTTGTGGACGGATTGTCATGACATTTTGAACACATGTGGGTACTGGGCCAAGGAACACAACAATAAATTTTGGTGATGTTCCGGATCACGATGCAGATACAGGAATTTTTTTTTCTTTTAACACTCTGAGATCGGCAAAGCTGTGATGCTTTCACAGGGCTTCTGTAAAAAACAGTGAGCTGGATTGGACAGCACGGACTTCAAACTTTATAAAAGTAATGTTAAAACCACATTTAATGATGAATAAGTTTTGCCATAATATGCACATTTACAGAATGTTTTGTGACCAGGAAGTGCGTGACTGCACCATGAAACTTATTTTTCCCATTTCCTCAAACACACCACATTTCCGAAACAACCAATCGAAACAGTTTGTCTCTACTAGGCTTGTAAACAGAGAGCTGCCGGGCCTCAAAGTTTGGAGACGGGGGGAGCCAGGAAGCACTTTATAAAGAGAGTCAAACCATTACAAACTCATACAAGGAGATAAAACAGATGTTTTACATGGTGAAATGTGACTGATGAAAACTTAGGAGCTTAATCCCACACCAGTTTGACCATGAATAACGTCAGGTGACCAGTCTGACTGTTTTTTTTCACATTGGACTCCACAGAGAAGAAATCCTGTGCATACCGCCTGCTTAAATGTTCACTATGTCAGAACTTATTCAGCAAATGTGTTTCCATCTCTGCTTTTGYGCATTAACTCTTACAGGATGGGTGAATTGGTCTTGGTGGAGGTTTGCAGTCTCCGAGTGCTTCTAGTTTTTTTATGTTTTGATCTTTTTACTGTTTAAAGCACATCGATTTGTGCGACGACGGTTGTTTTAAAATAATCTTAATAAATTTATTGATTTTGACTTGATTTCTAAGCGTTTTTCAGCATCTTGAGCTCAGACTCACCTTCACCAGCAGCTCCCGGCTCAGAGAGTAGTTGTTGTCATCGGAGAAGATCTCCGACAGCTCGCGGAAGGTTCTGACGCTTTCCCTGTGAGCGGAAACAGAGTTGGGAGAATGAGAAACTTAAACCCGGTTTCTCCACCCGAGCAGAGACTACGAGGAGGAAGACGCACCGAGACACTTCCTCCCAGGTCCTCTTCAGGCGGTGGATGGCGTTGCACTGCAGGGCAGAGAGGATGGCCCGCAGCGACGAGAAGTTCTTGAGGATCCGACACTCCTGGTGGCAAAAACACAGACCCGGTTAGAACAGAACCTACTGCTTAAGAGCTGCACAGAAAAGGTTAAGCTCCACCCACCCGGGCCACGTCGATCCACCTCTCGATGAGCCGGGACCTCTGGTTGGGCTTCAGCGCGGGGTTGCCCAGGCAGGTGGTGATCACGCAGTTGGTGACGGAGTTGAACTGAGCCACGGTGGCCCTGATGGTGGGAGCCAGGTGCTCCTTCCCCTTCTTGTCCCGCTGAGACCAGATGCCCCCCAGGCAGTGGTACGGCACCACCTTCTTGAACAGGTCCTGGAGGGACAGAGACACGCCGGGACATTCAGCTAGAGCTCCGCTGAGAAACGTCTCCTGGTCAGTTTGTTGCACTCGAGGCTGCATCAAACTTTAACAAGAGAAACGCTCAAAGCTGAAAGATTTCTGCTGAAGCAGCAGAAAATATTAAACGCATATCTTTACAATCGATTCAGTCGAAGGCGAAGAACTTAATTCAGCTGGAAACAGACGAAATTAGTAGAAAACGTAACTAAAACATGCTAAACAAGGCTAAAAGTAGCTAAAAGAAGCATGTTGAAATTAGCCTCTGCTACTACTACTACTACTACTACTACTACTACTACTACT